GGGGGGGCATCCCCGTCTTTTTCACCTTCCCGCAAGGTGCCGAGGAGTTTGGCTGCCCAAAACCCAGGCTGCGGAGTCAGCGCTGCTAAACCTCCCTCCCTCCGTGCATGTGTGCGCTGCAACCGAAACCTGCGTATTGATGCTCTCCGTTTATCAGACATATGCCCCTGAATTATGTAGACAGGGAGAAGCGATCTAAACACCAAGCCGCACATGGTTTTGGTAGAAATATAATACTCCGGCGGCAGATGAGTTCCTCCCAGATAAACAAACCCACTTGCACAGCCCCAGCAGGGCTAAGTGCTGTTTGGGTTTGTAGCGGCTGCATGTGGCTGTTACATACCCAGCCCCGAGGAAACCCTCCTCCTGGGGCCCCATCTGCTCCCCTTTCCGCACAGGGATGAAGCCCTCGCCAGTGCCGGCGTGGGGGAGCGGAAGGAACCTGCCGCTCTCGCCTGTCCGAAGGGATCGGGCGGAAAGCATGAGAGCCATGCTCCTCATCCATAAAACTTCCACCCGAAAGTCTGCTCCGCTTCGATTTCCAGCCTCGCCGCCACCAGGGAACCGTCAGCAGCTGTGAGAAAGGGGCTCGGGCTGGACGCACCTGATTTTTCATGGCTTCCCTCTCCGCCGCCGGGATGTCGTGCGCGGGATGCGACACGCTAGGGAGGATGCGGGAGGACAGGGGCTGTCCGGGTCGCTGGGGCGAGCGGGGTGCGGAGGGACGGTTTGGATCAGCCCCCTGGGGATGCTCTTATTCCCGGGGAACGATAAAGGTTTCAGGAGATTTTGCTGGCAACGCGATTCCTCCCAGACTTCTAGGGACTTATCTTGAGCGTGCACCAGCCCTGCACAAATATGTTTGAGGGCATAGAGCGTTCTTTTTTTTTTTTTTAAATCTGTCCTCGGTTTCACCTGGGTCTTGTTTATAGAAGCTGGTTAAATCCGTGAGCGGGTAGGACCAGCGGAGCATGGGGTCGCTTTGCCTTCTCTGTGATTTTAATTACAGCGTGTGCCTCCCAGCGTGAGATTAGATGCTTCCTTCCCCCAGCTAAGCCACTGTCTTAAGGTCTTGGGGATCAGAGCTGCGTTTTGTTTGCGTTTTTAATTGCCTTGGAAAGTGCTTGCTTGTTTGTTTGTTTGTTTCTGTCTGGGACCCTCCATCAGAGCCGGGCTTCAAGCAGCGCAACAGATGTGTGCCTGCTTTTTGTGCGCAGCCAGGTTTAAACACGCAACCCCAGCCCCATCATGAAAGCCTGGGAATTTCTTCCCTCCTCTGCCCAGACCCATCCTCCGTGGGGGTGTCTCCTTTCCTAAAGGACCAGTGTAAGGCTTTGCCTTTCTGTCCCGTCTTAAATTTGCGGCACTCGGAGAAATCAGTAAGACGCAAAACCAATGACAGATGCATGATCTGAGCGTTGTTGATGTCCAAGATGGGTGTTTTTTAAAATACACGCTGACGATCAATCACGCTGCTGCTCGGAAGCTTTCGCTTGATGATCGTAACTGCCTTGTAGGTGCCGGAGACTGTTGTTAAATCTGTTCAGCCTGCAATCCTGCACCTGGGTAGCAGAGGAATGAGTGCTATAGAAAATCTTAAGACAGACACTGAAGTTTTCCACTGGGAAAGGAAATATTCCAGCCTTTCCTCTTTCTTTCACCTACGAGCCTCTCTGTCTGCATTCGCAGTGTGCCTGCTGCTATGCAGGCTGGAGATGCAGCGAAGCGAAGGGCTCAGCACAGGCACGAGACCTGCGATGATCTGCTGCCGCCGAGGAGGCAGAAGTGGTCTTTGGCAGCCAGATCTCCAGAGGGTGGTGGTTTCGGGGCCCGATTTCACGGTGAGGTCTCTGGGTCTGCAGGGTGAGATGGGGAGGAAGGACTCTGGAGCCCCCTTTTGTGCTGCATCTTTCTCCTTTTAGTGAATCACTTTGTCTCTGTATCCCGATTTGCTTGACTTTGAATGGATGTAATAAAAGCTACCTCCTTCCCGGAGTGCTGGGGTTTGATTAACATGCTCACGCACCTCCCCGAGATGAAAAGCGTCGAGGGGTCTTACGCTAGTCTGGTGTGCTGAGGGTTAAGGCTGTGTTGGAATTAATTTCTTCTTTGGAAGGAAACTCAGAAAATCTTCCTAAAAATCTGAGCATGACGCTGTCGCGGTAGGCTTGTGCTCGGCTCGCTAGTGCGTTGTGTTCCTGCTTGGGGAGGGTGTTAAAGGTAAGGCATTTTCGTTTTGGCGCTGGCGGTGCTAAAGTTGGTGTCTTGGCACGACATACAGATGTTTTGGAGCAAAACGATATTCTGCGATCATCTGTCTTAGCAGTCACTTGGCTCTTCTCACTGCAGCCTCACAGCCCCTCACGGCTACCCCAGACCCCTTATTCATTATGATACCCCCCCCCCCCCAAACGAGGCCCCACGGGGCTGGGAGCACGTAGCCTGTGTCCTGCCCACTTGTCCTTCCTAGGTAGAGATGCCGTTTGCGGTACGACTGTTCCGCGCAGTGCCTGGTGCTGAGGAAAGGTCCTTTCTGCTCACCACCAGTGTGATGAAAGGCTTCAGAGGGCTCTTTCTTACTCCTTCCTCCTTGCTCATTAGGCTCTGTTAATGGACAGTAACCCTGCCAGACGCCCAAGGCCACGGGACTTCCTGTCTGGGCAGCAAGTCTGAGCCACACACTGACTTATTGCAGGATATTAGCTATGAGCGTGCTTCCCTGCATGCATGTCTTGGGGTTAAAAGCACTTTATATCCACTAGATTTGACCTCTCGAGGAGCCTGCGTCAAAAACCAGGGAGAGAAATATGCAGAGCTCTCCGGATGCCTTTCACTCACGCTCTGGAGTGCTTTATAACAGCGAGAAAGTACTCCCGTTCCCCCGGTGCAGACTGGGAAACTGAGGCACGGAGAAGTGAAGTCTCAGTCTGAACCCGATTAATTGGTGAGCCACCATGGTGGTGACCACCATGACCTCCAAGTGGTACTTAGAAATGGGAGCAATGACCAGTCCCCTGTCCCTTGAGCCCATGCTGCAGCAATCAAATGCAGCTCTTGGTCAGAAGAGGACACTTCTGAGATTGACCTTTTTGCAGCTAAAATGACAGATGGGTGCTTTAAAAGGAGAAAAGCCTCATCTTAGATTAGCACATGGTCCAGGGACAGTAATGCGCCCATGAACCTTGGTTTCCTTATCTTTACAACTGGGTAACAAATGCTTTTAATAATCTTTGAAAGCGGAAAGATTGTTGCCAAAATGAGAAGTGTTACGACAGTGAGTCTGTGTGGCAATTGTTTTGAAACTGGCATTCCTCTCTGTTTTTTTTGACTTATCCCGCTGGAACTATCTGATTTTCTTTGTTCCTAATAAGGCGCATATGCTCTGCTGAGTTTGCTTACTCCTTGCTTCTCTGCATCTCGTAAGGTGCAGAAGAGCCACCCAGGCAAAAGGCTCCAAGTCTTCGCACTATGCCCCATGCAATGGGAGCCAGTGTAGCATGACACCTTACCTGTGACCCCCTTACCCCAATCCCCCCTTGCCTTTGCAAAAAGACTCTATGAGCCCTTAGAGATGCTCTGAAAACTTTTGAACGGGCACACTTTGGTGCGAAGACCCAGTAGTCGATGCATGTTAGACACCTTTCATCTGCGCAGCTCAGTGCTTCTGCCAGCAAGGCAACACACTTTTCAGTGGTGACTCCTGGAGCAATCTCCCCATGGAGAAAGCCAAATCTTTCTCCCAGGTATAATGCTCCCAGGTGTTTTCCGTCTTAAATGCTAATGTTCGCAGAGGACACCTAGTGCTGAGGGCTGGAGAAGAGCCGGAAGGCCTGAATAGGAGCAGTTATCAGATTGAAAGCTACCATCCGCACTACGTGGTCTATCACCAGGTGGCTTTGACCTAACTTTGGGGACTTTCTCTAGAAAGGCTGAGATCCTGTGCAGACCCTGTGACTTGCTTTTGCCCCAGGCCTCGCTGCTGAGAAGACTTTCCGGCGTTGTTTAAATAGTGGATGCTGTGGAATAGAAATCCTGGCCCAAAATGAAACCAACAGGCTGAGATTCACAAACTTCTTTTGCATGGGAATAAACAAAAATTGCTGCCGAGCCCATCTGGATTCGAACCGCTGACCTAGAAGTGAGACCTTCAGTAGCCGGCTCTCTCCGCTTTCACACCTAATCTCTAAGTTCCCCTCCAGAGGTGTTATCTGTACCTGAATAGTCTGCCTGGGTTTCCCTACCAAGCCATTAACTATAAATTTACGGGAGCTGACTGGCACTAGAATTCGCCTTGTCCTTCTGACAGGGTGAACATGTGGCTCTAATACAGATAATATGGGATAGGTTTCCATTATAGGCATTTGCATGATATATACTCATACATTTCCCCCTCCTCAGAGCTCATGTGAGGGCCAGAGGAATAAATCTCGATGCTTGGTGAACCCTCACAGCCAACGCTGCACCAAACGCATGTAAATGTTCGCAAAATGAGACGCTGCAAACCGGCTGTTGAGTCTCCTTAAGCATAAAACACTACACGGGGGAGGAAAGGTGAGGGAGGTGACAGAGCTTTCCGATCCTTGTGTTGTTTTCCTTTAAAATCACAGTGACATGGTTAATATTTATTTATTTATTGTGACTTTTTCTGAAGTGAGTCACACGCACTTACTAGCAACAGCCCCCTGATGCTCATTCACGGAGAGCCACGTTGGCAAGTCTATAAGCATTAAACTCTTTGGTGACTGAGTTTAGAGTTATAGGAATTGGAGCAATGAATTAGCAGTAAATCAAATCCCGGATGGCTCTGTACCCAACTGCGGCAAGATTTAAATTAAAAATATCTTGTCGAGATGAAGTACTCATAAGTCAAGCACTGGAGTTCTGTCAGTCTGGGCTTCGGCGGCGAGAGCTCGGCCCCTTTGAAACACAAACCATGACAAGTCCACGTATTGATCCCCAGCTGGACTGGGAAATTGCCACTTCATTTCTTTTATAAACTGTTCTTGCCTTTTTTTTTTTTTTTTTCTTTTCCCCCTGAAGGGAAGATGGTTGCGCTGGGAAGCTGGGGAAGGGTTTGCAGATTCGCTGCACGTGCGTGGGGGCCCGTTTGACTTGGTTAGAGCATGTTTGAGTGCAAAAAAGGGATTTATTTGTTTTTTGTGACCGGGGATTTGTCCGTAATGTAGCGCTAGAAAGAAAACTCGTTTAGAGACTAAAGAGCTGTATCCTGTTACAATTGCCTATTGATGGACTAGCAAGCAGTTGGTGTGCAACACCGCTTTGTTTTCCTTTACGGAAACTTATTCTGGGCTGTCAGGAGGAGACTTTGATTCTGCTAGCGAGTTGCCCTGTGGCCCCGAACAAGTCGCTTGGCTTAAACATGAGTTTCCCTGTTATAAAATGGGGGTGGCTGTGCTGCCCCACCCTTGAGGGGCACTTTGGGATCCAAATTGACCATCTCTTTAGCCACCATCTGATAGTCATTTTGCTCTAACAACCTGTACAAATGAGTCACTTTTCTTAAGTGAGATGAATAAAGCCAAGGAGGTTCAGATCAGGAACTCAGATGCCAGCCT